GATCTAAATTAAGAAAAATCTGTTTTACAAAAATTTTCATTTATAATTACAAATAAATTTTCAGTATTGAATTAAACTCGAAAACTGGGCTCCCAATTAAGCTTTAGCTATGATATCCAGTAAATACTTTTTTTATTATTATTATCCTTTTATTCAGACTAGTGGTCGCAGGGCGGTCGAAGATAATTCACTGACGTTTTGAATGTTAACGAGCTTCCATTGATTGCATAGTGGAGGGATTAAAGCGATTAAATCAAGGGATTAAATCAGTATTTGTACATCATCCACTACATTTTCATTCCACATTCACTCCATTTTCACTCAATACTCAATGCCGTTGTAACTATACTTGAGACCTTAGAACTTATCTCAAGGTATGTGGCGCATTTACGTTGTGGATGTCTATGGGCTCCAGTAACCACTTAACACCAGGTGGGCTGTGAGCTCGTCTACCCATCTAAGCAATAAAAAAAAAATGCCCTTTTCATTAACTCCAATAATTTTTACAGTGTAGTAAGCTGAATAGTTACTGTATTTGTAGCACGCGCAGATTATACAATCATTTATTTTTATACAACTAAGATATTGTTCGCTTCCTATTACCATTTAACGTCAGATGATCTTTGAATTTATTCTGTTGGTCTTAAATCAAACCCGCAAAATTATAATTTGCGTAATTACTGGTGGTAGGACGTAAAGTGAGTCCCCACGGGTAGGTACCACCGCCCTGCCTATTTCTGCCGTGAAGCAGTAATGCGTTCTGTTTTGAAAGATAGGGCAACCGATGTACTGTTAAAACTGAGACCTTAGAACTCATATCTCAGGGTAGGTGGCGGCATTTACGTTGTAAATGTCTATGGGCTCCGGTAACCACTTAACACCAGGTGGGCTCTGAGCTCGTCCACCAACCAAAGCAAAATGAAGATGTTAGTTATCCAGAAATGTATATGGCACAAGGTCAACTTGTAACTTCATTAAATTGCGACTATCAAACGAAACACTATGACATATCCTTTTTCAAACGAGGCTTGTGGAGAGTACTTAACGGTAGGCAGCGGTTTGGCAGCAGTTTGGCTCTGCCCCTGGCATTGCCGAAGTCCATGGGCGACGGTAACCACTCACCATCAGGTGGGCCGTATGCTCGTCTGCCTACAAGGGCAATAAAAAAAAAGCGTGACTGCTTGGCCCCAAACATAGGCAGGATCATGTTACGTGTCCGCGTGGGCTCAAAATACACTCTACCAATACTAAGACGCATTGTTTTTGTTCCTTAATAATTAAAAACGTTCCCACTCACGCGAATAGGTAATAAGAATATAGTAGTATACACCTCAAAGACATTTTCGGTTTCACAATATCTGATATAATTAAAAATCGCAGTACAGTCTCACACGAATTCGAACCGTTAGTTATGTGAGGTATTTCAGCGGGCGAAACCCACCGAATTCGTGCGTTCCCAAGTGATCGTATATTGTTCTGATATATGACCCTTGTTTTGTACTCCTTAGCATTGCGTTTAAGGCGCTCGAAAATCCTTTGGGGCTCTACATTATTATGGATATTCTAATGCCGAAAGCTACAAAAAGCAAACAATACAGTCTATACGTGTTTCTAGATGTTTTTGTTTTGTCTACATTCTCTTATATGAGAAATGTTTTATTGGAATTTATTTCGGTATGCGACCGTTATGCTTCACCCAACTTGCAGCTTTTTTTGATGGGTGGACGAGCTCACAGCCCACCTGGTGTTAAATGGTCACTGGAGCCCATACACAACTACAACGTAAATGCGCCACCCACCTTGAGATATAAGGTCTCAATATAGTTACAACGGCTACCCCACCCTTCAGACCGAAACACATTACTGCTTTACGGCAGAAATAGGCAGGGTGGTGGTACTTACCCGTGCGGACTCACAAGAGGTCCTACCACCAGATTGTCGACCCTCATTATTATTAATTTTTTTTATTGCCCTTGTAGGCAGACGAGCATACGGCCCACCTGATGGTGAGTGGCTACCGTCGCCCATGGACTTCAGCAATGCCAGGGGCAGAGCCAAGCCGCTGCCACCGCTTAATACTCTCCACAAGCCTCGTTTGAAGAAGGACATGTCATACTGTGGAAGTCTCAGTCTTTATATACCTTCTACCTTTAGGGCGTTGTTGACACTTCCAACCTATTGTAGTGAATCAGGCATGTTCGCCGATGCACATCCTGATGACTATATCGCGATAATGCGCAAAAAGTGGCATCCATTATGCGTAGAGTAGGACGAAGCATCAACCACGTCTTGAGGATATTAGCAGGGTTGAATGAAGTTGATATATTATTTACTTAAATACTAACATAGTTATTTGTAATGCTAACACACTATGAGACTATGATGTCTCGAAATAAAAGATTTTTATTTATTATTTATTATTATTTATTGCAAATCAGTTATCCCACTCTTCAAGCGGGCTCCTGGTCCGTCGACCGAGGGAACTGGCGGTCCGGCATCCGGTCCGGCGTCTGGGGGACGGCGGGATGGATGTAATATGCTCTGCGTAAGCCCTGTCTCGCCGTCTCAGTAGCTCCGATTGGGCTTCGGCCCGGCCCGGGGTAGGGCACCGGTTGTGAGCGGCAGGAGTTTTTAGTGAGGTTCAAGTCCCACATACCCCGCCCGCCGTGCGGGTGGGGATCTGGCGATTTTCTCCTGTGCAAAAAAAAAAGGAAAATCCCACTCTTCAAACCGGAACACGTGTCACGGTATCACACACTGTCATTCGGCTCCAAAGTAAAATTTCTTGTGATGTGAGTACCAGAGACTTACATACATACTTCAATTAATACGTGAAGCAAAAACTTTGTATCCCTTTTTACGAAAATTGCGCGGACGTAGGAGTATGAAATTTTCCACACTTATAGAGGATATAGAGAAGAAGTGCACAATGCTAATATTTTTTAAAATAATGCATAAAAGATACATTAAATCAATAAAGAAAACATTACACACCACATACCGTGTATTTGACGCACACACGCATACATCATCATCATCATCATCATTTCAGCCTATCGCCGTCCACTGCTGAACGTAGGCCTCTCCAATAGATTTCCAGTGCGACTGGTCCATTGCCACCTGCATCCAACGAGACCCAGCGCTTTTTACTAGGTCGTCAGTCCATCTAGTAGGTGGCCGTCTCACACTGCGCTTGCCAGTACGTGGTCGCCACTCCAGGATCTCTCTGCCCCATCGACCGTCCTCTCTTCGTGCTATGTGGCCGGCCCATTGCCACTTCAGTTCACTAATTCGACGGGCTATGTCAGCAACCTTCGTTCTTCTACGGATCTGCTCATTTCGGATTTGATCATGTAGAGAAATGCCGAGCATAGCCCTCTCCATAGCTCGCTGCGCGACTTTGAGCCTTCTAAAATGATCCCTAGTGAAGCACCACGTCTCCGAGCCGTAAGTCATCACTGGTAACACACATTGGTTGTACGCCTTTGTCTTAAGGCACTGAGGTATTTTGGACGAGAAGAGGTTGTGCAGTTTACCGGACGCTGCCCAGCCGAGTTGGATCCGTCTACTGACCTCTCTCTCAAAGTTGGACCTACCTAATCGGACTGCCTGTCCTAGGTATATATATTCGTCAACAACTTCAAGAGTAGAGCTCCCAACAGTAACTATGGTGGGTGCAACATGGACATTGTACACGCATACATACTATTTCTTTATTGTCAAACTTTTGTTCTTGACGTCTGTGATCAAACTGAGAATAGATTAAATATTGTTTATCTTTATTAATATTTTTTTATAGTGTAGTCTTGGCAAAATTTGTGATTATAGAAGTATAAAATTCAATCATAATAGTGTACAAACTTACAATTCTAATTAATTATAGTCGAATTTCGACTACTACGGGACCTCTAGTAGATAATAAACACCCAGACAAAGAGCAAACAGACCTGTTCATCACAAGTATGTTTTGCTCGACGCGGGAATCGAACCCATGACCCTTGGGGCAAAAGTCGGGACCTCTAATTTCTCCACCACCGAGTCAGTCAAAATTGGTTGGTTTAGTTTTTATAGCACGATTTTATGTCTACGTGGTTAGGGTACATATTACAAGAAGGAATTAAAATGCCTTGCGTGACTTGAACCGTGGCATGATTCGGTACAGCTGACAGTATTCCCTCGCTAAAAAGCCTTCGAAGATTTTAACGGCACGGATTGCCCGTCAGCATTGATAGACGTCGTACAATGGAGTCGAGAGTTCGTCCTCCGTCTGGAGGTGGGGGCGCGCGATTTCTGTAACTAGAGGCGGCCCATAAATCCTGCTATGCAATAAAGGAAACATATTTTTCGTATATTTTATTAAAATTTTGATGGATTGTAATGCTCATTCACTTCTCCTTGCATCGATAATCCTCAATGCTGAGGGTCGTGGCCTCCTCTGATAAATTTATCTTGGTTTTTTGTTGTTGTTTAGATGTATGGACGAGCTCACAGCCCACCTGATGTTAAACGGTTACTGGAGCCCATAGACATCTACAACGTAAAGGCGCCACCCACCTTGAGATATGAGTTCTAAGGTCTCAGTATTGTTACAACGGCTGCCCCACCCTTCAAGCCGAAACGTATTACTGCTTCACGGCAGAAATAGACGGGGTGGTGGTCCTACCACCAGTAATTTTTCAAATTATAATGTTGCGGGTTTGATTTTTATTACACGATGTTATTCATTCAGCTTCAATCCTGAACATATGTTAATTACGTATTTCATCAGAAAAATTGGTACCCGCCTGCGGGATTCGAACACCGTTGCATCGCTAGATACGAATGCATCGGACGTCTTATCCTTTGGGCCACGACGGCTACTACTGGTTTGTCATGCGCCACTCCTGCCTATCCTCCGCTGTGTGGATAGCAACGTGGACTGAAGTGTTGAGAGTGGACCTTCCTTCTGGTTCGACCTTCACAGCAATATAGAAACATTGTAAGTGAAATATTTATTGCAGAGCCTCCTACGGTTCGGTGCTGACCATCGTCGCGTTCTCCTTGGAGCGCTACCTAGCTATCTGCCACCCGCTCCACTTGTACGCGATGGCTGGACTGCGCCGCGCCCTCAGGGTGGTGGCCGCCCTGTGGCTGCTGTCCTTTGTCGCGGCAGCTCCGTTCGCGTCGTATACCACAGTCAGCTACCACGATTACCCTCCAGGTACGAGAAAACCAAAGCTAATTACAACGAGCGCTGAAAATTGTGTCGTAATCAAAAAAGATGTGTGGTGTCGTGGGACACCGGATAGGAACGAAGTTCCTTATTATAAAAATGTTAATTTTAAGTTCTATTCGAGGTATAAAGAAAATAAAACTGGGGGTTTCGCAACAACCCACGGTCATTCGGTAACGTGCGAACTTATTGTGGTACACTTCATTCACGGTTGTTTGCATAAGAGTTAGTGTATTGCGCAAACGAACGCTCTGAGATCGTGGTCAATGAATGATAAAAAAGTATGTTATTTTTTGTACGTTATTACAAAGTTAAGTCGTACACTGTGTGCATTACTAATAAAAATCTTACGTTACGGACGTTTTTTCTCGGTTAGAGTACCCCTCCGCATCGTCCCATTAGGAACTTCGTTCCAAAATAATTAACGTTGCTATTAGCTCTATCCCATCGAACTTTTCATCCAAAACTAACAAAAAATTAATAGGCTGACACTTGGCCTCGTTTTTTTTTGTAAAATATAATAATATTTTGTAGCGAGTAGACAAGTACTCCCACACGATTAAACGCAGCTCTACATCATGTGCCACCTACATCATCTCACCTGACGTTTCAGATTCATTCGCGAAACAGCTGCTCTTGAGCTGTTAGGTGTCCTTTGGAGGCGCTCGGGCAGCTGTTGGCCAATCCCACCCCTTTGGGCTGAGTCTTTGCTCGCCCACCTGTCCTGGTAAAACTGGAAAGGCCTTCGAGCTACCAGTAATCCTTTCTTCATAATAAAAAACTTGACGTTTCGTACCAGCCCTTATTATTGTCAATTAGTTATTGCGTTGTGTGTATATTCATTCAGTGTGCTTTGTAAAATTGACCTGATTAATACAAGAAAATAAAACCTCGCCAATGTTGATCTTCCGCCCGAATTGCAAGTGGCTGAACGCTAGTTACTGGTGGTAGGACCTCTTGTGAGTCCGCGCGGGTAGGTACCACCACCCTGCCTTTTTCTGCCGTGAAGCAGTAATCCGTTTCGGATTTGAAGGGTGGGGCAACCGTTGTAACTATACTGAGACCTTCGAACTTATCTCAAGGTATGTGGCGCATGTTGTAGATGTCTATGGGCTCCAGTAACCACTTAACACCAGGTGGGCTGTGAGCTCGTCCACCCATCTAAGCAATAAATAGTACAACCAGCCACTTTAATGTGATATTTTGGACCACTTTAAATGCGGAGTTTCAATAAAGCCCTTAGTTAATTTTTATGTAGGTATATCCCTTCAGCTGTCGAAGAAATCCGCGGAGCTTGTCGAGCTAAACCAACATTAAATAAGAAGTTTTCCTTATAAAGAAGTTTTGTCGAGATGGGCGGGATCACGGCCCATCTAATATCTCTCGACACGAGACCCAATAGACATCATTACTTTGAGAAATGAGACTGAAGTCGACATTTTACATAGCGATAATACTCTATTTGGTATTGGCAAGTCGTAGACATAATCATAACTAGCTTTACAATTTAATCTCGCTTCTCAATATTATATATATAACACTATATATATGTATGGTATTTATGTATGTATATGTAACGGTTGTCTGGTGTAGTGGTAAGTGACATGGTCACTACACAAGGGGGTCGCGGGTTCGAATCCCGCCAAGGGAAGATATTTGTATGATAAAATATATAAATGTCTTTTCCGGGTTTATCGATGTTTATTAAATATATGTATGTGTATAATAAAAATATTACATTTATTACCGTTATCTGGTACCTGTAACATAAGTTCTTTACGAACTTATCACAGGACCAGTCGCCGTGGCGTAATTGTTAGTAAATATTTATTTATTTATTATTTATTTATTTATGTATATTTATGTGCATATATATGTATGTATTATTTGGATTAAATGGCTTTATTAATATTATTATATGTATGTATGTGTGTATATATATTTCACTGGATTGGTACACCGCGTGTAATTCGTTCCCAAATGATTCTTGTCCACCTGATGGTTGTGTGGAAGAGATCGTTCTTAGCGATAAGACCGCCAATTGTACTTTTTTGTATTTAATGTTTCGCATTGTCTATTTTTTTCTGGTGTACAATAAAGAACACTCTCTCTCTCTTGTTCGGTGTTATTCGACGCTTGAATATTGTGATACGCACTGTCTTTTTTATTGCAAATCTAGTATCTTAAGTCGTAACTAAGCGAGAACGGACACTGTAAAGTATTCTAACAATTGGAAATAATATAGTAGCAGTATAGTAGTCGTCCTAGGGTGCCACAGGTATACAGGTCCCTCACAAGTTGTCTCCCCTTCACCTTATCTTGCGTTTGCTCCTTAACATCGCTGCAGATCAGGCCGGCGTCATCACCATAATATAATAACAATTAAAAACGCAACATTTAGCCGTAAGAGCATCGTGGACTCAGACTGAAGGGAGTTCTTCTATGAGCGCTGATGGCCGTGAACGACAGTGACCACTTACCATCCGAGCTGGACGCTCGTCTGCCTCCAAAGCTAAAATACTAATAAAATATCCCCTTTTCTCAAAACAGAGCGCATCTCTGCATCAGGTTCACGCTGGGGTACACATAACAGTTTATCATCAGGTGCCAACTAAGCACGTGTAAGAGTTATAAAAAAAAATTTTTTTTTACAGGTTCCGGAAACTCTTCTCTAGAGTCAGCATTCTGCGCGATGCTCGAAGTACCCTCGTGGTACCTCTACGAGCTGAGCAGCCTCCTGTTCTTCATCCTCCCTGGGCTGATAATACTCTGTCTTTACGTCAGGATGGGACTCCGGATCAGGTATGTTATGGGGTACGTATCTATCTTCTACCTACCTCTACTTCTCTACCTATTTCTACATTAATGGGTAATAATTCTTTGTTTCTAGTTTATAATTACAGTAACAACGGTTTATTAGCAGGCTAGATGTTCCGTAAATATGCCGCGAATACAGAAACCGTGCATATGGAAAATCGCGTTTACAAAGGATATTCAGTCACTGGTGGTAGGACCTCTTGGGAGTCCGCACGGGTAGGTACCACCACCCCGCCTATTTCCGCCGTGAAGCAGTAATGCGTTTCGGTTCGAAGGGTGGGGTAGCCGTTGTAACTATACTGAGATCTTAGAACTTATATCTCGAGGTGAGTGGCGCATTTACGTTGTAGATGTCTATGGGCTCCAGCAACCACTTAACACCAGGTGGGNTCTTGGGAGTCCGCACGGGTAGGTACCACCACCCCGCCTATTTCCGCCGTGAAGCAGTAATGCGTTTCGGTTCGAAGGGTGGGGTAGCCGTTGTAACTATACTGAGATCTTAGAACTTATATCTCGAGGTGAGTGGCGCATTTACGTTGTAGATGTCTATGGGCTCCAGCAACCACTTAACACCAGGTGGGCTGTGAGCTCGCCATGCATCTAAGCAATAAAAAAAAATAAAAAAAAAGTTGGATACTTGATTCCATTCCAGATTTTCCAGATTCCAGATTCCACTACGTGAATCGTTTTTATCAATTTATATTTACCGATTTTCCGATTAGATTCGCGAATAAATAAATCTTTAGCCGCGAATATAAGAATTCGGTTGCATTTTTTTAATCCGCGATTAGTGAAAGCGCGAATGTAGGAAACGCAAAAAAGTTATGAGGTAAGTACTTAACGGCAGGCAGAGGCTTGGCTCTGCCCCTGGGATTGCTGACGTCCATGGGTGACGGTAATCACTTATCATCAGGTCGCCCGTATGCTCGTCTGCCAATAAGGGCAATAAAAAACATAAAAATAAGGAGCTTTTACTGTGCCTATGTAAATCTATATTAATATGTATAAAAACGTATATGTTTGAATGTCTTTTTGTCTTCCTCCTCAATGAATCAAATCAAATAAAAAAAAGTTATTCAACATAAATGAAAGTACATTCTTGTTGAACGTCAAATTCACGTCAATAGCATCGTGTTCCTCAGTCCTGAGGGTCTTGACCTTTTATTCAGACTATGTTCCTCCACTGTTTCCTGTTCTCTGCGCAGTGGGTAGCGACACTTCGTGTTACTTAAACAAGCAAAGGATTTTAATGAAGTTTCATACAATCCATCCACAGTGCGTTTCCAGAGGTCCTTTTTGCCACGTACCATCCGGCTATCGAATGAGCTCCCCTCCACGGTGTTTCCCGAGCGCTATGACATGTCCTTCTTCAAATGAGGCTCGTGGAGAGTATTAAGCGGTAGGCAGCGGCTTGGCTCTGCTCCTGGCATTACTGAAGTCCATGGGCGACGGTAACCACTCACCATCCGGTGGGCCGTCTGCCTACAAGGGCAATAAAAAAAAACAAAAAAAAACAAGCATATTTAATAGACTTGCTGAATATAGGATACTTTTTTATCATAGTAAGTGACAAGACCAGAACAACTAATGATTCATTGATGTGTTAAATGAGACAAGTATATTTTTTTATTAATTTTACAAACAATTTTTTGTTTTTTTATTGCCTTTGTAGGCAGACGAGCATACGGCCCACCTGATGGTGAGTGGTTACCGTCGCCCATGGACTTCAGCAATGCCAAGGGCAGAGCCAAGCCGCTGCCTACCGCTTAAATTAGTTGGGACTACGATTTTATCGTTAGGCATCTATAGTTAAAAAACAGAGAATGATTAAAAATCCTCTGAAGCACTATAGAGACTTATTGAAACTTTTAGATTTTAATTTGAGTGTGCACTAGACACTTGTAATTTAAGCGAACAAAATATCATTTTTCATTTAAAATAAACGTAATTATCTAATTGTTATAAAATTGTTTACGAACTATTCGCTTCTGAAAAGTTAATCAAAGTTTAAAACGCGCGAAACGTGTGGGAGCTTTTGTGGGATTTTGTTGCTTCGGCGCCGTTATAAAATTTTTAATGACATTCTTAAAAACGCAACACACACTTACCAGCTTTTATTTTTAAAAGTAATTTATTTGAGGATTCTGTGTTTTCGTGGTTTTATCACTTAGGTTAAGCTTATTATCAGATAACATATAGAATATCTACCATTAAAGTACGTTATAAATGCCAATATTATTATAAGTCTTTGGCTTTTTACTGCTGGTAGGACGTCTTGTGAGTCCGCACGGGTAGGTACCACCGTGCTGCCAATTTTATCCGTAAGGCAGTAATGCGTTTCGGTTTGAAGGGTGGGGCAGCCGTTGTACTGTCAAAATTGAGACCTTAAGAACTCATGTCTCGACGTGGGTGGCGGCATTTACGTTGTAGATGTCTATGGGCTCCGGTAGCTACTTAACATCAGGTGGGCCGTGTATATAAACGTACATAAGTATGTATGTCAGTCTCTGGTATCCATAATACAACGGGAACCCTAATTCGGGATCCGATGACCGTGCGTGATTTGTTTCCAACTATTTATATTTACATTAATAACTAGCTGAGTCCCGCAATGTTACCCGCGGACTAAGCTAGTCTAAAAAAAGTAACCTAAGTTACTCCTTTTATCATCAGCTACCTATTAGTGAAACTCTCGTCAAAATCGGTCTAGCCGTTCCAGAGATTAGCCGGAACAAACAGACAGATAGACAAAAATTGTTATTTTGGTGTATGTACCGTATATTTTCGTATCATGTGGTAAAAAGCGGTTATTTCAATATTACAAACAGACACTTCAATTTTATTTATAATCATCATCATCATCAACAGCCCACAGTCGTCCACTACTGGACATAGGCCTCTCCCAATCTACAACACTGAGCCCGGTCTGCTGCTCTCATCCACTTCTAGCCGGCCATCGTGTGGAGGTCATCGCACCATCTAGCCAGGGGGCGTCCCACGTTACGTCTTCCGCTGCGCGGTCTCCACTCGAGAACCCGTCTGCTCCAGCGATCGTCAATCCTACGGCATATATTTCCAGCGCACTGCCACTTCAGCTTGCTGACTCTTTGAGCTATGGCGATGACTTTAGTTCTCTGTCGGATAATCTCATTTTATTTATACGTATAGATTATAGATATCAATCCTGAAGTGTCAATAGCAATTGTGTGTATTTATAATAGCTTCATCACAGTCGCACAGACGAAGCGTTGATAAACTTTTCAATGTTTTTTTTTTTATTGCCCTTGCAGTCATACGAGCACACGACCCACCTGATGGTAAGTAGTTACCGTCGCTCATGGACTTCAGCAATGCCAGGGGCAGAGCCAAGCCGCTGTCTACCGCTTAATACTCTCCACAAGCCTCGTTTGAAGAAGGACATGTCATAGCGCTCGGGAAACACCGTGGAGGGGAGCTCATTCCATAGCCTCAATTTCTTATACATGTCTTGTAAATTGTACATATTCTGAAATAGCTTTATATATCTTGTAGTTTTGACCGTTGATTGATGACTTGAGGACTGCACGAGTGAGCTCATAACAAAAAATTTGATAAGATAAAACAAGTCGAAAAGAAAACATCACTTTAACAGTCAATTTAACATCTAGAAATGAATAAAAAGATACACAAAAACTAGAATTGAGGGCGTACGCCGTAATTTTTTTGTTGTTGATATTTTCAAAGTTTTATCTTCTGTTTAGTTAAATATTGCTCTTGTAATAATTCTGTATTTTTCTTTATTGCGGTACCATTTGTTTTATTTATCATTTGCTTTTTTTCTGTTCTTAATATTTTATTTATTTATTTATTTATTACACTTTATATAAAATTTACATTGGCGGACTTAATGCCTAAGGCATTCTCTACCAGTCAACCAAAGGTAGTGCAGAGTGAATAGTGGTAGGTGCAATGAAACGAAATTTTAAACGATGTTTCCCGAGCGCTATGACATGTCCTTCTTCAAACGAGGCTTATGGAGAGTATTAAGCGGTAGGCAGCGACTTGGCTCTGCCCCTGGCATTGCTGAAGTCCATGAGCGACGGTAACCACTCACCATCAGGTGGGCCGTATGCTCGTCTGCCTACAAGGGCAATAAAAAAAAAATTAAAAAAAAAAGCGAAAAAATGCAACATCACCCAAAGACTAGTTTTTTTTTGTACTGCATATGTAAGTGGTTACCGAACCCCATAGACATCTACAACGTAATTTTTTTTGGTAATCACTAACCACTTAGCCACAGTAATCACTTAATATCAGGTGGGCTGTGAGCTAGTCAACCCATCTAAGCAATAAAAAAAATTTTTTTTGGTTAGACGGGTGGGCGAGCTCACAGCCCACCTGGTGTTAAGTGGTTACAGGAGCCCATAGACATCTACAACATAAATATCCCACCCACCTTGAGATATATGTTCTTAGGTCTCAGTATAGTTACAACGGCTGCCCCACCCTTCAAACCGAAACGCATTACTGCTTCACGGCAGAAATAGGCGGGGTGGTGGTACCTACCAGTGCGGACATAGGTACCACCACTCGAAACTAATCCTGCGACAAAATGATAACTGTTACACAATACAACGGACACATCAAGTAGACAAATATAGCAGTACATCTAGTTTTTTTCATATAATTCGTGTCTCACCCACATCACGAGAACAACCACATTGAGACATCAATTTGAAGTCTCAATTCCATTGTATAAGCGCTGACCCACCCACAAATACGTGAACATAAATCAATAATTGACATTTGAATTTTAAATATTTGTGGATATAGACATAGCCTACCTTCCGGTTAGTAAAAAAATCTACCTTGGATCTAGCCTAGATCTTTTTTTTTTTGTTGCTTAGATGGTTGGACGAGCTCACAGCACACCTGGTGTTAAGTTGTTACTGGAGCCCATAGACATCTACAACGTAAATGCGCCACCCACCTTGAGATATAAGTTC